GGTAAAAAATAAATATATATTCAGAAACTCGACAATGATGAAATAATCTTCTCCGTCTTGAAGAAATAATTCATCTAAACTCCGGCCTTCAATCTATTTCAAGGTTGGACGGAATTTCAAGAAGAAAAGACAATTGGCCACACATGTTCCACGTACTAATGGATGGTAGTCCAATTTAAATACGCAACGATCCAAATACAAACTTAGTTGTTTTCAATTGTATGTACCCTTCGAAGCTGCACCAAAATGTTGTTCTAAAGTAGGGTGCAGTTATTGTACGTATGCACTCTTTGAAGACACAATGTTTCGACGTGTTCTCAACTATGATACAAAGTTTGCATGTATGAATTGAATCCTATCGCTTGTTTTACTTGGCAAAAGGTTAACTTGGACCACCGACCAGGACCATTTTGTTCTTTGCCAAAACCCCATCACTCATGGTGGGGACTTCAACATAACGAATTTGTTTCTAATTTTATCAATTTTTTTTCATGGATACGACAAGGTGGCATGTTTGGGAGTGATTATAAATGATTATAAGTTGACAAGTTGTTGAATTTTACAAAATATGTGGATGATAAATAATAGGGTAATTAACACATTACGTCCACTCATTTCACTGTTAATGTGAAAAACGTCATTACCTTTCATTTTTTGGCATTTTCATCCTTATTTCCACCTTTTATTGGACAAAATGTCGTTTTTATCCATCTTACATTACGTCCACTCATTTCACTGTTATTGTGAAAAACGTCATTACCTTTCATTTTTTGGCATTTTCATCCTTATTTCCACCTTTTATTGGACAAAATGTCGTTTTTATCCATCTTCTCAATTAAAAATTGTGAAAAGACGAAAATATCCTCCCCTTTAAATAAACACAAAAGGAAAAGGAAAAAAACTAATTGCAAAAATAATTCCAAATTTTTTTGAAAAGCGCAAATGAGTCTTAAATAAATTTTTAAAAGGGTAATTAGCTTCCATACCTTTTATTTTTTTAGCATTTTATCTCTTAATTATAATTTGATAGTGCAAACCATCATTTCTATCAATTTTCATCCAATTTCTCTATAAAAAACAGTGGGATGACGAATATACCCCCATATTTAACTAAAAAATTAAAGAATTAATTGCAATCATTGTCCCAATTTTTTAAAAAAGTGCAAACGAGTCCCTAATAAATTATTAAAAAATTAATTTTTAATGAAAAGTGCAAACAAGTCTCAAATAAATAATTAAAGAATTAGAAATTAAAAAAAAAAATTTATTTAAATATGAGTGTATATTCATTATTTCACAATTCTTTATTGAGAAAATGGATAGAAATAATGGTTTGCGCTATCAAAATATAATTAAGGGAGAAAATACAAAAAAAATGTATGGATATTTTTCGCAATAATAGTGAACGGTAGGAACATTATATGATAACTACCCTTTTAATAATTTATTTAAGACTCATTTGCGCTTTTCAAAAAAGTTGGGACTACGTTTACAATTAGTTTTTTCTTTTGTTTTATTTAAATGAAAGGGTATTTTCCTCATTTCACAATTTTTAATTAAGAAAATAGATGAAAATGACCATTTACGTAATGAAATGTGGAAATAAGGGTGAAAATGCCACAAAAGAAAGGTATGGACGTTTTCCACTATAGCAATGAAAGATGAAGACGTTTTGTGCTAATTACCATAAATAATATTTTTGAATCATACTAAATGAATAAATAAAAATTATATTTGGCCAGTCAAGTAACGATTACCACTATGCGGCGCCTTTGTGGTCGGGAGAGTTCAGTGTCGGTGGGCAATCATGCCTCAACCAGTTAAGAATGGTCAACCTAGATACTACAATTTTGTGGTTAGCCAATCTATCTCGCTCGCTTTCGCTTTCAAGAAGATCGTGGTTGCTTATTGTACACTTATTCGTACTTAAAAATATAAATATTTAATTTTTTTTATTAATTATAGCTTGATTTATTGTATATTTCATTTATTAGGTAAAACTCGATAATTGGAAATGGAATTGAAAGAAATAAACGAAAAATGGCGAAATCCAAAGTTTGGAAACCTAATCCCAACTTTTCAATAGTTGATTTGGACCGAGACGATGATTGAAAATTATAAGAGATCAATTGAATGCAATTTGAAGATAAATGATCAAATTATTTCAAGAAAGAACTCAAGAAGAATTCGGGGAACTAAAGTGTAGATTTGAGAAAGAAGTTACATTGGGCAACCGTCCAACCATCAGAAGTAAAATCAAGGGACAAACATTAAGCTTGGGCAATCGCTCGGATTAATACTGCGCGACTGACCATGCCAAATCAGATGCTTCTGTGGCAAATTCCGAATTTGATTAAAACTCTTCATGGTGCAGTTTCATTCCCGTGAAAAGTGCATCTTTATTATTTCTAGACATAGTCACATTAGACTTATCGCAATGTTTGTTTTCCAACGCAACGAAAAGACAACGTGTTTCAATATTCCAAACGTGAAAACATAAGCAAACATACAAAGGACCACAAGTTTCGCAATTTAGCCCTCCATTTCCAAAGTCAAAGGCAAAATGAAAATAAAATATTACCAATTTTATCACATTGAAAGAGATTGTTCAAATTCTTAGAAAATCAAGCCTCAAAGCAAGAGTTCCTCAAATCATACGTGTCATAAATTCTTTGGGGTTATAAATAAATATTTTTGTCAAAAATGATTTCATTTCTTTCTTTCGAAAATATTTTCGACAATATATTTATCTTACTTTCCAAATTACTTAAAATTTTATCAAAAATAAATAAAATAACAAAATTGTCAATGGACGGAGGCAAAATAATGCGGTTTTATTCACCTTTATCGTAATTTATTATTCTTAAAAGATTTTTATTTTTTTATTTTTTTGTACAATATAATGGGTATGATAGCCGTCCAAAAAAAAAACAAAAAATCTAAAAAGATTTTTAATTTAAGAAAAAAATTATTTATCAATAAAATTAGTTCCCACCGGCCACTACAACTTCGGACCATCAAAATCATGCCGATTCTCTCTTGCTCTAGTCAAACCGGCTAAAGTGATGGACTAATCTTTCATGTTTCACAATCAAATATTAATCGGTCCAAATTTAGGGCATGCATCAATTGTTTTCATGGACACGGTAAGGTGGCTTTATTCGTTTTGTCTATGTTCAAAAGCTAATAAAAAATTATTTTTTATTCGATCAAGGTTAAATATTAATTTTAATCATGCATTCACGACTACATTCTAAAAAGTTACTAATAATTTTACATAATCACTCACTTTGTTTGAATTTTATTTTCTTTTGTTACAATTTTAATTTTCAATTAAATTTCAACAATTTAACTCAAATGTGTATATTCACTTTAGGTGATATGAAATTCAAAGCTATTATTTGGTATGAGTTAGAAGGTTTTATATATGATATACGGACCACGTTCATTGCATATTTGATAAAGAAGATGCATAGTACTGGACAGTATTAAACTCGTGCTCATTATACTATTTAGTGATTTTTTTACCACTATATGTGACACGATTTAATACTAGTGAGGAAAAAACAAAGCACTTGTTTGATGAAAATTTGTTGAGAAATGATTTTTTGAAAATTATTTAATTTAGTTGAATATGTGGTAAAAAGTACAAAAGTTATGGAAAAACTAGAAAAAATAATTTGTTTAAAGAATATATAATTGAAAGAGAGCGCGAGTGCTTCTCAAAGAATCTAAATCAAATAAAGACAAAATAGAAAATACTGATGCGGGGGACTCAACGGATACATAAGGGGAGACGTGATATTTTTGGGTTTTGCTACTATTTTTCCACTCGACCAATGATAAAATGTCACGTCGACATTATGTGTACTATGGTGTAAATTATGATGTACATCTATAATAAATCATTTGATATTGTCGTACTTCTCATTGTCATATTTGGAGTGTATTTTCCCTTTGTCTCTTAACCAATTTTGAACTTGCTACTCGATGAAGATTTCATAAATTTACTATGTTACTACTCAAAAACCCATTGCTTCATCGTATAAAATTTAAATACATACAAAATTGCTAACGTCAAAATTAGTCCATTTCTTTTGTTTCCAAAACACCCAACCCCCCATGTGAAACAAAAGAGGGCTTTTATTAGTACCGTTGAAAATAAAGTGTCCTTTCTGCACTATTATTTACAGTTTTGCCTTCACACTTTGGTCGTTCTTGAGATTTTGAGGATCCGTACAAAATTTAAAAGAGTTTTCCTCTTTTTTTTTTTTTTTGTTATAGTTTAATTACATTTTTTTTGTTATAATTTATAAGAATTTGAGCTACTCCTCTTAATAATGTTGATTTTTTAAGATGGAACCCCAACTTTTAATATGATATCAAAGCCCATTAAGTTTCAACGAATAATTATAATTATATCAGATTAAGACTCAAAAAATGAGCACACAAATTTTAAAATTTGTCTACTCTAAAGATGAAAACATAGACCAATTGATGACGTGACTGCACTTTAACCCTAAAATGCAAGACAAGAGGCATTCCTTTTCATCCATGGCAGATGCTGGGAATCATAAATAGAAATTAATGAGATTTTTCCATTTCTATACAAGAAAAAAAGTGTCTTCCCCCCTTACGCGGTGGACAATGTATTTTACATACATTTGTGGAAATGTCTGCATTCATATAGTTTAATGTTAAAAACGAGGTATATATAACATGTGCTTTAGTGGCAAGTTAGGTACTCGACTACACGCTAAAAGAAAAGGAAAAATTACAGTTAAAATCTCGTTAATTTTATTGTCACGTCCAGTACTATATATATAAAAATGTGGAAAAATGCTACTTGTACATCAAAAAGTGTACATCAAGGTCTACATCCCCTCACATGGAGGGTTCCACATGAATAAAATATTCGAATAGGCCCCTTACCCATGTGAGGAGGGTGTACACCGTGATGTACACCCCGATGTACTAGTAGCATTGCTCAAAAATGTGTGCTAGCAATTTACAAGTCTCTTATTATTCATTATTTTTCTTGCAGTGACTCTAAATGGACAGTTGGAGCTCACAAATCCATTGACTAAGTGAAGATATGTCTTTAGATCATGACATGTTGCCATGTTAATTCCATTGAGGTAGGGTGAGTCCCGGCTTCTTAGCCGGAGCTCGCATCCGACATCTGCATAAGCCCATTGACGATCCTCCACCAATCTTTGTATCCAACTCGGATAATTTCCGGTATAACGGTCACAATCACTGGTCATTTCTTCGTTGTTAACGAGAACAAAACCGGGAACTTTTGTTATAAGATCATCGGAGTTTACTATACGTAAAACTTTAGTGCCTTGATTATCTAAATGGCATCGAAAGCTCCAATTTCCGACTCGTGGACCAGCAAATGAAATGACAGTCACCAGAGGTGAATTCTTGAAGGTTTCTTTAATGTCATATGCTGCTAGGGTTGCAAGAGCTGCACCTAAAGAATGGCCTGTGATTGTGAAGCTTAAGGGCTCATTAGAATACGTTTGAAGTATTCTTGAAATCTCTTCTCTTATCAGTTTTTGTAGACTTGGGCGGGTTCCCATGCTAGAAGTGTATAAGCTCAAGAATCCACTTTCCACCATTGGAGAATTATAAGAGGATTTGGCATTGGGAAGAGGAGTGAGAGTGGCCCTAAGATTTTCAAGCCACTCCAAACATGTAGCTGTGCCACGTAACGCGATTACTACGTCCCTCCGGCCAAGCCTCGAAATCTCTTGTTTGTCATTGCACACTGCAATGTACCCTATCCAACTCGACTGCACGGCCATCCACCTCGGTCCCTTGTGTATCCATCGAGGCAAGTGAATCCCAGACGTGGCACTCAAATTCTTAGTAACTCGATACCTGGTGTCGCGGAACCCCGATTGGTCGAGTAACTTTCTCTTCGAGTATCTACAAGTGGCATAAGAAGAAGATGAAGGGTCAAAATCACACGATCTATAAGTAGCTTCCACGAATTGGCCATATCGAATGATCTCATGGCGTAAATTATCGTCGAGCGGGTCGAGTAAACCTTCCCAGTTCTTGATACCTTGATAGTCCATCCATTTCTTGCTCAAGTTCACTGGTGCTGAAGCTGGATTTCTTGTAATGTTGTAGTCGGAAAATAGGTTCTCCCAAGTTTTGGGAGAGTGAATTTTTATGTTGAGGTTTTTTCTCTTGTACCGAGTAACGCTACATGTTACCTGTTGTGTGGCAATATTGGAAGTGCATGGCCCTGAAGATTTTGTAATTGAGAGCCTCATAATTTGTAATGAATTTCAGTAAGGGAGATTTAGTAATTGAAACCCAACCCAGAGATGGCCTTTTTATAATGAAAGAAAGAATAGGAATGTGTACGTGACGTGAAGTATTGAAACTTTATTCGTTCAAATATATTAGTCTCACTGTGTGGATACATTTACTAAAATTATTTCAGCAGAGATATTATATGTGTGTATTCATTGATTAGAGTACTATACAGTGGCTTGTGGGGGGAAGAAAAGATGAATTAAATGGTATTTGATCGATCAGGTGGGGTAGGTAGGGTGGGGTAGGGTAGGGCTGTGTAACATCCAACGGCCTGCATGCAATCATGAAAACTCTTCTTATTAGATCATTGTGAAACTTTAATAGAAATTGTAAGCATTGTACTTAAAAAAAGTAACTTTTTTGAAAAGTAACAAAGTATGTTACTTATAATTGTCGCAATAAAAACTGTATCATAACTTGACTTGTTTTAATAATATTAATAAATAGCCATGTAGTTGAAGTCAAAATGAGAAACACATTGCTTTGTTTGCGTCAACGTTAATTGTCTACATTTGACTTTAAAGTAATGAAGAAAATGTACAAAAATCAAACCAAGAAGAGGTAAAGTATTTATTGACTTGTAGTCATGTGTTACTTGATATTGTGTAGAGCTTAACAAAGTAAAGATCTCGGAAGTATCCCAAAAATTTGAAATTTATTACTAAATTATAGGTACCTTAACCCCTACTTGACAACCATACTTTTAAAACTATTTCTTCTACGTACTTATTTTCAATCACACATTCACATAATAGAATATTTGACACGTAAATCCAAAATTTTGCCATACTTTTTAGTTACACATTCTCCTGAAAACACTATTCAAAACACTATTATCCCAAAAGTATGATTGTCAAACAGGGGTTTAATAGCGTGATATTTGGACCATGTTGAACGTACTGCCTATGACAGTCATGGACAGTGTACTCGACTGGACCTCTTATTATGGTCATGGACAGTGTAATCGACCGCGACCTCTTATTATGGACGTCTTATTATTCTTTAAGCGTTTAAATGTTTTGGGAAAATATGAAGTAGTTTTGGTGTTTGAAAATAATTGTTTCTTTTTTATCTTTACACACAATTTTTTATTTTTTTGTTTAAACGCACGAGGGCACTAGTCACACTAATTTGTAACTTACCAGCCTCTTGTTCAAAAGGATATGAGCAACAAAGGACTAGATAATTATTTCACAATAAACTGCAAATCTAATTTCTTCCGACAGCACAGGACTATGAAATGCGATGCATAGAGAGAACATGGGCTATGACACCTAACACTTTGGACATATATTGGCATATTCTGTAGAGGGCAGCGAGGACAATTATGATGGACCAACACAATTTATGACTAGAGATATAGTGATGTATAGTATGAAGAGGGCACACACGAAATATGTTCGATGAGAATTAAAATTAGATTTTCAGTAGAATTTAATAGAAGTTTTTGAAATGTGTAGTTGAAAAGTTGTGGGACCCATGAAAAATATGGTTAATACTGGTTGTTTGATTTCGACTTAAATTAAAATCTGATTTTAATCCAAAACAAACAGGGCATAATACCAATTCCTTTTGATCATCTGCCCTTAATTTTGCGAATTTAAACTTACAAAACTAGAGGTCAAGTTGTATGCCCTTTTCACAAGATTTCGTAACTCCAAAGTCCCGTGTTGAAAAGATACGCGTGCACACAAATGTACGTTCGTACACATATACATATACATATACGTCAATATATTCCCATGTGAGTTTAGTAGTTCACTAGGTCAAGTTCCAAAAATGGATTGATCTTCACAACCTTAAAGATAAATTAGCATATCCCATGTCCTTAAAGGGATTATTAATGTGGATATGACTGGTTGGGACTAAGAAAGTTGAAAAAACATTCTTCTTTTAATTCACTATAAATTAATTCACAAAAAGGGCAAAAAAATAGACGAGCTAGATGATTCTCACTCACTCAAAGTGCTCATGCAACAAGTAGTGCGTGCGCATGTCTTTTATTGCACGTTTATATAAAAATAGAATTCCTTAATTGAAAAGCCAAGAGTTATGAATTTGACAAGAAAACCATGCACAGATTAATAAAAATGGTAAGAAAAATGTTCTTAAAAAAATAAATAAATGTTGTGTGTAATAACGAATAAATTGTAGAGCGACTAATAGCATATGTAATTTATTTAACTGTTACTAGATTTTGATAAAGTTGATGAAATATGTGGTTGGGAAGTTTATAAAAATTGTAAATCCTGTAAATATGTACAATCGGGATTGAATTTGAGGGTGAAAAAAAAGCGTTTTATAAAATGGGGGTGGGGTCAAACAAAGCTTAATGGGTTATTATATTTGAGTCGAAATCGATCCTTTTGCAACTTAATTTTTTATCTACCGAGAGATCAATTGTGTTAGAAATTATTCTTCGTGCGGATTATTACGATTACATTATGCAGACCGACTTATAAAGCATGGTTGGAAAGTGCTTATAAACATGAGTGGTGTACAAGTTAGACACGAGTATTTGTAAATCTTTCGAAATGTGTGTATAAAAAGTAACTTGCGTTTTATAAACGTGAGTGTAGCTAATTAAACCCCGAATAAGTGTAGTTGATGAGGCGATCTCATATCGCTTTTAAACAGATGAAGAAAAGGTTGTTCTTTGAAAATACTTGGCCACAAGATTGATTCACATAAAAAGAGGTAAAAACAAGCCTTCTTTAAAGGGTGTAAAATTTAGTTGTCGTAGAATAGAAAAAAAGAATGAAATATATCTTGCACGTGTATATTATATTTCAGTTGTGCACTTTCGAATTGGTGTGTTTGCGGGATAGTGGAGAGGGAGACGGTTGGATTGCGAATGATTTCAAAATGATATTCGTTGATGGCAAAAAATGATGTTGCACTTTTCGATCAAATTCTAGAGATTTGAACAAAATAAAAGTATTATATTGTTGGAATTTTGAGAGTTAGAATTTCAATTCGTACTCATTTACTATTCATCCTTCGTCCCTTGTATAGGCTAATGAGCTCAAGTTTGCTGTCTTGATCGTGTCAATCTACAATTTTCCAATCTTGGGCTACGTGCCATTGCCTTTAAAGGAATCTGATTGGTTGGTGAGTTTGGCCGCGACAATCATCCTGATACTTGGGCTTTAGGCTTGTGTCCTAGGTGTCATTATGTCATCATTCTAAGTGGTTGGTGTGGATGGTGCATGTCATGTCATAATAATATTTTCATATAATGTCTCGTATAGTTTGACTCTGATCTCTATCGAAGGGTCTTGAATCAAGATTTCAAACTGTTCGAAATTGGGTGTGAACCGAATTCCTTGTAGAAATAATTGAAAATTTCTAATTAAAGTGCACGTCAAGGAGAATTCAGTTTCGAATGCTATTGGAATCCTATGTCAAATTGAAATTCTATTTTGGAAGTCCATTGAGAGTTGAAATTTGTTATAAATTCCATTTTTTGGTATCCTACTTTATCAACAATTCTACTAGAAGGGTTTGGACATCCCCTACAGGTTCCTTATAAATATTAAATTATTCTATACAATTTTATAATGTGAAAAAAGTGATTACGAACTTTTAGGATCAATTATATATATCTCTATTATTATTGATGCAATAAAATCTCTTAATTCCCATATTTTATTGTCTTCTTTTATTCTTTTACTTATGATCAAATCTTCATTACTGTGTCTTCAACGTCTTAATCCAGTGGTTGGTTTCATAATACAAAATGATATGTCTAAGCCCTTCGACAAGAAAGCTTTTTTTATCCAATTAAGGAGAACCCAATGTCAATGGTATATCTCAATTTGATAAATCATGATCAGTATGTTAGTCTCACAATTTCTACGTGTAAGTTCAAATTAATTGGCTAAACAACTTTTTACATCACAATTCATCTTGAACTGTAAAGCCCATTTATGTATCGACACAGAGGCCCATATCTTGAACTAATAAAGCCCATTTATTTTTCATCTCTCTGTCGAAAAGCTTTCTGCTGTTCGGCACGTCTACTATATAGGAAGAAGTGGAGAAATCTCGTGACGTCAGAATGTCATCAGCAAGAGCCCAATCACCGCCATACCCAAGTGCAGCCCGAATCGCCGATTCTGATTGCTATCCAGAGTACACTGCTTCTCTCAAATGTAATTGTCAAAATCCCCCAATTTACAGTTTTAATTCATTTTTGTTTGAATGAATTCTTGTTAGTTTTATGCTGTATTTTTTTTTTTTTTGGTCAAATATGATTGTTGTTTGATTTTTTTGTTGAATTATCGTCTTTTTTATTGGGTCTGTATATTATTTTGTGGGCGATTAAGATTTTCCATAAATTGTACTTCCAATTAATCGTAAAGGAAGGAATTCTTTACTGGCAAGCAGTAGGCTTTTATTGCGCTCCTATGTACTACGTAAAATTTCCTTGTTTTAGAGGGGATAATATATAAGGTTATAACATTCAAAAGGAGTTAATTTTGCATTTTTATTGTTAGCTTATATTGAGATTCTGATATATGATGGTTTGAAGTATTCCTAATTTCCAAATATTTCATTTTTGATAAGCATCTGCTCCCATATGGAATGTGATAAACTCGCTCAGAACACAAGGTTTGAGTTGTAATAAGCTTCACAATCTATCTACTCTACCTAAGCCAGCATATTAAATGATGTCAACATTGAGTTATGACTTCGAGCATGTCTAGCGAAGCTTAGAAGTTATTTTATGTAATATTTCTTGCCAAAATGTTTGATATCTTTCAAAAGTTTTTTTTTTTTTTTTAAATATTGAGTTCAAAAGTTTACTAAGAACCTTCTTTTATAAGCTTATCCAAACATGTTTATGATGCATTTGTTTATCGTTCAGGTTTTAGGAATTTGAAGTGGTCGTTGTTATTCATTAAATGACGATTCTATAGTTTCTGAACGTGTAAAATCTTGTTAATGGGAG